CTTCTCTTCTACAGGCTGAACCCCAATGTTAATTTTGTCTTTATACTGTGCAATGCAGCCATAGTCTATTTTTCTCCCCCCTTGAAAAATATGTTTCTTAGAGCCTTTGAACCTGCAGTACCTATTCCTGCCCTTCAGTACAGCACGTTCCCTGCTTGTGACATTGGATTTCATATTGTTTAGCAAAGGGTAGGCCTGTGCCTCCCGCCTTACCCCCCACCGTTTTTTCATCTCAGTATACAAGTTTCTCCGTGCATTCTTTACACATGTGTAAATGACTGTTAAAAAGTGCAGAGCGGTGGAAAAGTGGTTTCTCGCAGTTTTGAAGTGCTCATGTTTTATTAAGGCTGAGATTCCTGGCGCTTTGTGCCCAGAGACACACTAGTCGCCACCCTCTCCACTCCTAGAGATAAAACCCTGTTTCTTCCTGTGAAAATTCTCTAATCCCCCCCCAACTGTTAGTTTGTGTGCTTTGGGGTGGGATTTGATTCCCATAGATATGAATGCCTTTCATGAAGCCCCTAAAATATAAAAGCACAGTTAAAGTGCATAAAGCAATGAAGCAGAGTACCGAACCTGTTTGACTTGGCATTGTTGTGCGAAGATGCTGGCACCATTTCTTTCCTTTGTTTCCCCTTTATTTGCCCATTGCTTTTAATTTTCCCTTTGCTTCAATCACCATCCATTGCATGGCACCTTGCCTTTGTTTCCCCTTTATTTGCCCATTGCTTTTAATTTTCCCTTTGCTTCAATCACCATCCATTGCATGGCACCTTGCCTTTGTTTCCCCTTTATTTGCCCATTGCTTTTAATTTTCCCTTTGCTTCAATCACCATCCGTTGCATGGCACGTTTGGTGCTTGTTGCCCTGAATTTTACATAGCTGCCGTGACTTAATGACATTTAACCCCTGATGACATTTAACACCACTCTAGTATTTGAAAGTACTTTGTCCAGAATGCACCGTAATTTGTGCTTGTTAATGTAAACCCTCCAGGTTGGATCTTGATGTAATTTTGTAACAAATTGAAATCTGTAGTGGTATTTTAGTACCTGTAAGCAGGCTCTGCAGTCAGTGTCTGTGTGTCTTTAGATCAGCTTTCCACAATACAGTTGTTGTCATAACCCCTTTTGCCAGGATTCCCCTGACATCTCTCTGGGGGATCAGTGGCCACCTTCGCAGTCACTACGGTGGCTCGACCTGAGCTCCATGGGCCTCGCAGGGGTTTTGGGGGACAGGTGGGGAAAGAGAAGGCTGCCGTGGCTAGAGGGCTGCGACGCG